CTACTCTACTCTCTCTCTCTCTCTCTCTCTCTCTCTCTCTCTCTCTCTCTCTCTCTCTCTCTCTCTCTCTCTCTCTCTCTCTCTCTCTCTCTCTCTCTCTCTCTCTCTCTCTCTCTCTCTCTCTCTATCATTCATCTTTTTATCACAGAAATATTAAGAGCAATATATCATTTAAATATATTTATTCTAGTTTGTTTTAGAAGAACCGATAGTCAAATCTTTTTTATTCGTGAGATATAGCATTCTTCATTGAAAGAAATATTTGAAACTTGCTACATTATATATACGTGATTTCGTCCTTCAGTTTCTAGTTTCAAGAAACATTTATATAATTTTTACTTCTTTTAGATTTATTTTCTGTTCTTACCGTTTCTACTATTTGTATAATTCATTCAATTTTTAAATTTTTTCTGTACGTTATATTTTTGAGAAAGACTCTGCTTTCACAATTAGATATAAGAAAAGTTACTCTAATTCTATTCTATTTTGTGCTACAATAATCTATTCTTTTATTTCCGTTTTTCTAATATCAATGATATAACACGTCTCAAGAATGAGGTGTCGTCGGGAACGTCTTTGAAATATTCGGTGAATTATTCCGCGTTGTGAGTTTTTTTATGCATCATATGCGCAACTTATGTAAAATTGTTCTCACGGTTTCCAACGGTTTACCCCTGTGTAAAGCGTCCCAACAAGAAGATGGCGATAGAGCAAAAATTGCGACGCGAGTGTCGACGACAGGAAAAGAGAAGGGAGAGGGAGAGAAGAAAGACCAATATAGCGAGAACAAGAAGGGACTATCTTCTCTCGTAAAATTGGATATGAGGACAAAATCGAGGACAAAATCGGGTTGCAAAGTTCCTAGGGAGAAAAAAAGGAAATTTTACAAAGTTTTCCTACGTCGAACGTAGGACGCAGGCGGATAGTAAACCATACTGCCAACAACTTCACCCGACATGCGAATAACACGCCACTTCTCCGGTAAAAACTAGCTGATATTGGCTCGTTATCGCCTCCGCTCTCACCATCGTTATCGCGTCGATATTTCCCTGCTTTGACGATAATTTAGAGTCGAAGTCGATTTCTCATTTAATTGGTATCCGGCGAGATAAATGAAATCGTTCTAGGAAGCACGATGCAAACTGCAGCGATGTAATTTAAAGACGGAGATTTATATACGATACATTTAATTATATATATCGCGAGTTTTACTATGATAATAGATTTCCGCGTTATTAATATGTTTTTAATATGATTATCGGACACAGGTTTATTTTGTTTTTTTAAATTATAACTGCTATCATAAAAAGATAATATTACTAATAATACTAATAAATGATTCTGATTCTAAATTTGATACAAGAATCTCGTGCGAAACTCAAAGTGTTTTATAAAATTTTACTAGAGTACGATCTTAAACTTTCCGACAAATATATCCCAAATTGATTCGATTTGACGCAGTAACTGATCTTTAGAATACTCGAAAGGATAGTCAGCGAACGCTTGTCCGCGTTCGAACGTGAACCAGCTATAGCGATATCCCCTTAGGAACACCCCGTCCTGAAATGATGCAATTCGATTTTATCTTCACATTTGTCATGTCACCCGAATTTCTTACAAAAAACGGCACGAGGGGAAGGTGGGGGGGGGGAGACAGGAGAGAGAAAGTTTTGCATGTCGCCGTTCGCATTTTAAGAGGGGGCTGCCAATCGAACTTAGGTGAAATTGTATCGAAGTTCGCGACCGGGCACCGGAAGGAGTTCCCGAGAAACGTTCGCCGAGGTGCGTTTGTCATCCTCGCCTGCCTCCAGGTTTTCCCTGAATTGTTCGCGAGTGAGAGTACTGCGAAGCGCGACGTGGATGCCTGGGAGCGCGGTGGGTCGTAGCAGGATGCAATTACGGGCATTTAACGAAGTTTCGAGATTAGCCGCGGACTCGACGCGGCGCGACGCGACGCGATGCGACGCGGCGTGGCGCCGGGAGCTTGCGTTTCATTTAGTTTCGGAATCCATTATCCCTTCGATCCTTCCTGGCCGCCGCCCTAACCCACCTATCTGCCCCCCTCGTGGCATGGGCGTCTCCACCGGAGCACGAACGTCGCCCGATTTCGCAAAGGGTGGCGGCGTCGTGTCGACGGGAGGGGGGGGGGGCGACTGCAACGGAGGAAAGTAACCGCGGTGGCGAGAGGACAGTGCTATAGCGAGCCAAACTTTCGGCACGTCTCTCCTACGGGCACGCTTAATTACTTCAAACCGAGCTAGAATGAAAGAGCAAGGGGAAGAGGATGGAGAGTACGAGAGAGAGAGAGCGAAGCCGAAGGTGAGAGTTGGAGGATGATGGCGATTGACCAAAGAGCCTCGGTGACGGCGGTCAAAGGTCGAGCGAGAAAGCCATTTCCCTCGTCTCGACTATGCCGACGTTTTTTCCAGTTTTAATCCGAGAGCCGCGCCGTGAACGCGCGTTGCTTGCGTAAAATGTTATTTTCACAACTTCCGGTATCGCGTCCACGCTGGAAACTGATGGCTACGCTGCAACTCCGAAACAAACCGCGCGCAATCAACGCCGTCATTTTTCGTAACGTAACTATTCGGTTAATTAAGAATTAATCCTGTCACAGATATGTAAGAGCATAAATGTAGCAGGCGAATGAGATCAGAAAAAGTTCCGAAATAAAAATTGCAGAATGTTGTAATTTTTTACTGCAGACAGTTTAATGTCAAATGCCCGGCTTAAAAAAATAAGAGACATTCATGTATTATTGTTTAAATATGCACGGGAAAAATAGGTTGGTTGGCTGTACCAAAATTTGTTTTAAAATAAACAAATCAGAAATTTCGATTAAAACTATCAGAATTCAATTTAAAATAACAAGATTTCTTGTTAATTTATAAAAAAAACTTTGTATTGGTTTCTCTGGTTGATCTGGTAAACAAAAATCTGATAATTTCAATCGGAATTTGTCTATTTTTAACCAGAATTTTCTTTTCGTGTGCTTATCTAAATTTATGCGCAAAAGAATTAGTTTGCAAATAATCGCGTCGTGACGGTGAGACTATCAGACTCATATAATCGCCGTGACCTTACACTAAATGGCTATTCTTGACCGGAAACAGATTTCTGACAACGCGCGATTGTTAAGACGCTTGCCATCTTTCACGTTGCACAAGCTTTTATCTCAGATTTTTCCTTCGTACGTTACATAAGAGGACTACAGCGGCTTTCGGGTTTGAATGAAAACGATCCGCAATATAAAATTTGTCCAATACACGGGGATAAAAATACGGTATTTTATATACAAAAAATATTCTATATTTTATTTTACGTAGAGATTATTTAAACTTTTTAAATGTAGTAATATAAAATCAAAACTTTATGAGAATATTGAAAAAAGTCTATTTAAAAATAATCATTTAACTATAGAAGATAACAATATATTATTTTCTGTAGTGAAAGAGAAATACGATTGCTAAGTTATTAATAAAGCTGAACATTAAATGAGATTCATTGTTTTAGTAAAATTTATAGTCTATGTCGAATGGTTAGATAAATGAGTTTATATAAATCACGCTGTGTTATATTATAACAAAAGCATTAAATAAAAGACATCTTCGTTTCATACATGTAATATATGTTTGTAATAATTTTCTGCAAATAAGAAATCGTATTAAATGGTAATACGCATTATAAAGAGATAAAAAATTAAACAAAATGATTCTTTTCGATTATTTTTAGTGAATTTTTCATTAAATGAATTTTTCAGAATTTATATTCATGAATGATGTAAAACTTACATATATACTCTGCAATTGCGAAAGTAGTTATGTACAAGGTGTTTCATCTATATAAAAAACTTTTAAATTTTTTCTATAAATTTGTTTAAAAATTTATTTTTTACAAAATTTATTTTTTTAATTTTATTATTTATCACAATTTAATAATTTTTATTATGTTTATTAAAATTTCTATTTAAAATCAAGCAAATGCAAAGATTCTGTCATTTAATTTACATTTTTAAATTTTAATTTATAACCATTAATTTTAAATATTAAACATTAAAAATAAAACAAATGATCGTAGGAGAAAAATTATTTCCGCAAATTTGACGCCACCCGGTAGATGCCTATGCGATTTTAATTATCCATTGAAACTGTCACAGAGCTTCTTTCTCTTCTATTATTTAACTTCGATACCAGAATCTATCGACTTGTCGACCCGAGAAAAAATGTAGATGTGTGCCAATGTCTATTTCGAGAGCATCCGGCACAGAATATCGCATATCGCAGGCTTTATCGCAACGACAATAATATAGAGCTTTAGAAGAAATAAGATGATATAGATGACAAAGATGAGATAAATAAAAGATAATTTTTTTACAAAGTTAACATTAATAATAAATTTCATTATTAAATTATTTTCTGTAATCAAATTATTTCCCTTTTATTTTTGCCCAAAGATTGACAAACGTAAGTCAAAAAAGTTTAAAGCTTCGCGTTATTAAGACTGTTTTGGCTATTTTAAAATTTATAAAATATTTTCAACTTCAATATTTTATATTTTTATATTTTTATTACTATTTAGAAAAGATTCACGTATGTTATATCCTCTGTAGATTTTCCATAGATTTGAGTTTATCTGCTCCGAGAATTCTGATTAATTTTACAATCGATCTACCGAAATAATTACTGCCGATCGGGAGAAATGAAGTATCCAAAGTGATACTTTGTTATTTAACCTCCGGTTCAATGTCCGGTCGTGGTTAGATACGTGGCCGAGGATACAGGAAGGAGGAAACTCGTGCAAAACTATCGCGGCTCTGTGTTCCAAAGTCAGATATAATTACGTACTGCAGTAACGGACATGCGTTACTAACTTCGCCGCGGATACCGACCGGTTTGAAACCGGGAGATCAGCGGTCGTCATGCAAAATTGAAAACCGGATGATCGAAGGTATCAGCATTAACATCGGATCCGCGAGTTTTATCGCTCGACTGACCTGCCCGAAATCAGAACTACTCCGTTGAATTATAAATGCGTAATCGTTTGAGAATCTCAATCAGCGTAACGTTTGCCACACACACACACACACACACACACACACACACACACACACACACACACACACACACACACACGCGCGCGCGCGCGAATCACGACGTAATCGATATCGAAATGTAAAATTTCACCTAGAATTTACGCGGATCTCTTTCTTTCTAATTATTCCTATTATTTTACATCTAAGAGTAAAGGAAATATCAATAAATATCGGAATAGTGAAATAATAGGTAAAATAGTCGCGTTTATTCTAGACATTTCCCCATTCGGGAAACGATGTTTTTGACGGGTCAAGCTACCCGTGTACACCTTCGCCCGTGTCGAGCGGTAATTAAGGACTCCCGAGGATACAATCCTCCAAGTTCCAATTACTTTAACACTCGCGCCAAAGCCGGGCGAAGTGCGACGACAGATGCATGCGATCGATACACGACCGAGTCTCCCGGTAACGCTGCACATGAACGTTGCACTTAATATTGCACGACGCGATTCGGCGGGGCGAAAGGCGCACTATATCGATCGCGCTAAAATGTTTAAAAGTCAGTAATCGTGATTCAAATATTTAAACGTCGACCTCGCGATGCGACTGTTCGGATGTTGCCACGGATTGCCCGGTTCATCGCACCGATTCATCGCACCGATGCACAACGGGCGTGGTAAACGCCTGGCATTTTTCGAGAACCGCCACACCATTCTCGCCGGCGATAGCAAACATTTTCGAATGAAACCTTAATGGCGCCACGGATTTATCCTTTTGACCGTATGGCGTCGGCGACAACACACGGCGACGACGGAAAATTTCCGTCCCCGCACCGGAAAACTTTCCGTGCCCGGATGTTTCTCTGCCTTCTCCGGGGGAAGGGAATGCCGAAAAGACTCGCTCTCGCACCTGCATATACATCGTACATATACATCGTACTATATGCACGCTCACTAATGCAAAACCCATAATTATCGCGGCGCAAACCCTAAAGCGATGTTCCATTAACCGCAAATGGCTCTCTCCGAATTTCTATTTCAGACTGGAACTCTGCGCTATTTATCATTCTGAACGGTACGAAGGAGGAGCACTTGGACATGCTGGACGGTGGTATTATTCAGCGATTACTTGAGGAAAAATGGAAGACCTTCGCGCGAGTAAGTGCGTCCACGTGATGGCGTTTCCGCTCGTTTCTCGCTGAATTATAAAACGTTACTATATTTCGAAGTTTTTCGTCGTCTCGTCGCCTTTATGCTTGACTTTGCTACGACGACTCGAGATCTTTGTAACAATAGAATCACATGGCATACACCTCACCTTTTATTAATTCAACTTCTACCGCTACTTCAAATACCCAATTTTTCCGTATATTACTTTAGAGTATAATGAACTTAGAGAGTAAGTAGTTGCTTCTTTCCCCAAAACAGCATAATATTTAACGTATTTATTTGACGATAAATATTTCAACGATATCACGACTAGAAAATTTTAAACACGGTATTAGATGCTGAAAAGCTAGAATTATGTTTGATATTATGATATTCAGCATTTGTGCTTTGTTCTTTCATTAAACAATGGAAGCTTCTTTCAGAGTTTGTACTTTTGTATTGTGTATTCGTATAACTGATTCTTACGTCGAACAAAGAGATTTCTTTTCTTCTTATGTTCTGTGCACAACCCAGTACAAAGCGTCAAAAAGAAGAGAGTAGCTTCTTTCAGTTCTTCAGTTTTATATTTTTGCGCTTTCCATATTTTGTATGTTTGTATAACAAAGTAATGTTTTTATAAAGATAAAAAGCATATTAAAAAATGAGTGATTAACAGAATCTTGTATTTCTCGAATATTTTTCCAAGCAATTTGCAAATGACATTTATTCACGAGATAATTAAACAATGTAAGGTATGACACAGTGGAATAAAATACATTGAAATAATTGGAATAAAATACAATAGAACAATTTACATTGAGTCCATTTGAAATTATCCTCTGCTGAAAGCTTATTACTTTTCTTAAAGAACCTTCTTAATTAGATCCGTTAAATAGCAATTAAAGACAATTAAATCAATTCTAAGTTTGTCAAAGAAATTTTTATATACTATATATATCATCATAGTAGTTGGAGATTTTTCTATTTGCTAGAATGCAATTTTAAATTCCTGTAGCTAGGCCATATTTTTAGGAAAATCTTTACGCGAGCATTTTGAGATCGGCTTACATCGCGAAAGTAGCTCACGTTACGTTGCGATGCTTTTTCGCTTATATATTTTATGTTTATAGTTGATAACACATGAGCCATCTGGACAATTGCCGATAAATAACATGTTCACAAAGCTGCTTAAGTCACTTACGGAGAGAGATCGGATAACGTCGTCAAACACAGTTTTTAATGCAAAAGTTTCCTAAAACTTCTAAATTCACATTTTCATGCATTTTTAAAATCGCTATTTTAGATAATTCCATAAGCGACTCGGAAAAAAAATTAAACGATTAAAACCGATTTGGAGATATGCATTTTTGAAGAGGAGCGACACATGGGCGCGCTCATTCAAAATTGATAAAATGAGGATCAAATTTTCACGCAGCTTCGCACGCAGATGCAAACGCAGATGCGTGTCTCTGTAATATCGGATGTTGTCGCGCGGGATGTTTGCCATCCAGCGCGACGTCGAATACGATTCCTCTCTTTCTCTCCCTCTCTCTGTGAGTGACTTGGAACGATTAACACTCGGGTCGATCGGCCGAGTGACGTCGATGAGGCTTCCGGCGATGGCGGTATAATTGCGCCGGTTATTTCAAGTCAGTCTGTCGCGGGTCCATAGTGGCTCAGTGATTTCGAAACGATGGCTATCGAAGTTATACGGGCGGGCTGATTGCAATTACGATCGCATCACAAACGAGCTTTCGTACGTACGCCGAAGGCTTCAGCAGACGAGCGCGCAGTATCGCGCATATTATAACTGCACCGCGTCCATAACGTGTCCCATTTATGGCACTAATCACGGCCACACTCGAACCGCACGTAGACGCAGCAATATATGCTAGCATTACCCTATCCATTTGGCTATGATTTTCCTATTATCGGATCGCAGCGGAGTCAATCTCGGAGTGGTTCGTTAAAAACGTTTTTTCGGTTCCGTTCAACGAATCGCGTGCGATTACCACTTTACAAACAAGCAGCCCGATAACACCAGTCTGAAAGATAAAACGAGAGACGTTAAACGTTGCGTCTGGTAATTGGATTATCGCGCGATAATGCAGACACGGCGCGATAACGTGTGGGATATTCCACGGCAATGATGTCCCGGTACGGACTGTCGTTCGTGAACTGCAAAATTTCGCCGTATTTGACGTCGACATGTTTGTTCGTGAACAAAAACAAGCGTAATGTGTAATATTAGAAGCGAGGGAGAAAAAAAAAGAGATTATTTTTGCAATATTCGAGAGATAATCGCGGAGCCGCGGATTCTAATCGTAAAATTACGACGCTTTCGACTATGCAAGAGAATCGGAAAATGGATACACAACGATTCGAAATATGCGAGAGAAATTGATCTTCCGAGAAATGTTGAACTAGTATCCAAGCCCCTTGAGCTTAGCCTGGGGATCGACGATATTTTCGCGAGTCCGCCCCTATATTACCGCTCGTAAAACTTTGCTCTTATGTTCCGGCCAATCGATGCGGAAAGTTCCGTGGGTGCATACGCCGACATCTATTCTCCACTGAAAAGTTGCAGTTCCTGAAGCGATTGATTATCTTGGTGTTTCACCTGGCCTCGCTGTCCTTAGCCGTGTACTTCAGGCCCGCGGACATGGAGGCCGTGCTGCTGCAATGGCCCGAGGAGATAACGGATATCGTTCGCACCGCCGCGGAGTGCATCACCGTGCTGGGCGTGCTGAACTATATCCTGGTGCAGCTAGGCGGCGAAATGATCAACGTCGGGCCGCTGTCGTTCCTGAAGCAACTGGTAGGCTCGAACGTTTTTTCCTCCACCGGCGCGGTGACCTCGCGCCGTCAGGAGAGTTTTATATTTCGTCCTGCGGCGGCCTGAGATTCAGAGCTTATCGCTCGAGAAATAGATTGAATCACGAAGATACGGACGGATGCTGATTTAACAAACCTAGCTCTCTTATGTTTTTTTAAAAAAGAATATATAAGAGATACGCAGGAGTGGAAATTTAAAATTTTAAATTGTTTTGTTAGTAAAAAAAAAATTATATATTAGATTTTATGAAGAAGAGATAGAGTAGAAAAAGATTAAGTTTAATTTTACAGATATATATATATATATATATATATATATATAATTTTTTTTAGATTATTGTGCACAGAGTTGCGTAAACCGCGATTGTAATGAATATAATTTTACAAAGAAATTTAACTCTGGCGGATGAATAATGATCTTCTTTTCCAGACAGTTAATTCTCGATGTAATAAGATGTACGGTCTTTAAATAAGCATTCCCGCTCGCCATTACTACTGCATCATCTTCGTCGTTTCTCTCGATCGCGAAATGTCCCGTTGTTTCGCGATGGCTCGCGATGTCGATACTCAACGATGCAATTTCAGTGCGGCAATGCCGGCTAAGTGCAGCCGGTTGCGCAAATCTCGAGGCTAGTGAACTGTAACGGATCACGAATCTATGGATGCGCCAATGTATATTCCGCGGCTCTACCGAAGGAAGCTGTACGTTCGTGGCACTAATCTTTCACGCATTAATGAGCCCGAAGAATAAGAGGAGGATAGGTCGATGATTACCGAAGCATTATGTCTAACGGTATAACGACAACGGTAGCGGTTTAATGATCGGCTCTTCTTGTCTCTTTTTTTTTATTAACTACACAGTAATGGCGTGTAATCAAATGATATATCGTAGTTCGAGTTTTTATCAAGTTATACAGATGAGCAGACCGGTTAATTTTTGTTTATTAGATTTATTATGAAACACTTTAATGTTATTAAAAAACGCTCATAAAAGATATATCATCTCTATTTGAAAATGCATAATCATATTATTTTAACTAAAGACAATAATTGTTTTGCACATTATTAATATCTGCTATTTGAATAATTGTATATCTTCATTATTTATCTTAAGAGAGATTATATATTATTATATCGAATTAATTCAATCGTTTCTTCCGATATTACATCATAGTTGAACAACAGTAGAAAAATGAAATCTCAGAAAAGATACTGCCGGTAGTCAGTGATCGATTGCTTAAAAGCATTTTCGGTAGAAATGATATTTCGATATGTGTCTTCGATAGTAAAGATGGATTCTTTTTCGGAAGTTAATTATAAACTGTATACTCTTTCGATTAAAAATTTTTTTTATCAATTTTATCTTATTTTCTACGTTAAGAGAAATTATAGCTGTATATCAAGTCTATTTTACGATACGTGCTCCGTGCAATATAATTTATACCGTGTACTTTCCGATTCAAGAATTCTCGTAGATATTGCAAAAATGTGGGAAATATCGTCGCATTAACATGCCTATCGGTTATCTATCCACATCTATCAATTAAGAGAGAATATACATATACATATCGCGTTGGTTATTGCTTGTGCTGGATCAATAGTATACATACGTTGCTCCAATCCAATACAATCGGAACGTAAGCTATATCGTTGCATTATTAAATGTGGGTCCCACACTCCGTATATTCGCTTCGATTTGCGGGTAATTAATACTCGCGATTCAAAAACGTTAACGCGCGCCAGCGCAAAAGCCGCGACGTTGCACAACATGTAATTTGCCAAATCTGTACATGAATGGACAAAAATATATTTTTTCCAGTCTGTACAAACATAATGTTTAGTTTTTCGTGTATTAACCACCGTATTAGCCGTCGTGTATTAGCCACGACTACGACTACTACAATATCGGATCCTTTTCACGTATTGTTTTAAAAACCTCATACTTTTTAGAAGAGATGCATTTTATTTTTATTTTTCCTGGGTAAATTTGGAAGTCTCTAAAAAAAAAAATTAAATTAAAAATTAATAGTTCTAAAATTAAGAGGAAAACAATCGCGTGGAGCATTTCGGACTTTCTGTTTCCGTACGCGCTAAGCAAATTTCACCCTGTGCGTCGCTCGTGATGACGCAGTTGTTACACGGAGGTATCGAAATTGCACGAAAATATCGATTCCCCTGCGGACGTTCCTGAAACGTTGTAAGAGTGCATGCGGCCGCACTAACGTTCCGCCTGCGCGCATTTGCATTTCAGAGCCACGAACCGGCCAAGTTGATATTCGTGATCAGCAATCTGCTCATTCTCGCGTGCATTCCATGTCGTATCGCCGGCAATCGGCACGCGGAGGATGCGATACTGGTGTTCGCCGTGCCGGGCTCGTGGTTTCTTCTCATGTTTTTCGCCGGGTAAGTAATACATAAGAGACGAGACGAGACGGGACGCGGCGAAAGGCGGCTGCGAAATTAAAGTGCTTGCAATTTACTGGCGCGACGCGACCAAGTCGAGCTCGTTACATCGCTGCCACCACGTTTGTTTCACGCATCATTTTAGCGCCACCACCACCACCACCACCACCATCACCATCGGACAATCGTCGCGTGTAAGCCGACGATGTGTTTACAGCCACCTGTATGTAACACCGCGCGCAATTTGTCGGACTGACTATATATCGGATGGACTTTTTTTCTTCCCCCTCGCAAATATAATTCAACGCTATTTTCGCTGAATCTTGAAATTACGTACGAGCGTGTATGAAATAATCGCGATTGGTTATTTTTACGTAACTGTAAAAAGGTCTGCGAGCTAAATATAGTGGATTAACGAGGGAGAAAAAGATACCATACATAGCATCGAGGGCAAAGCTGAAAAAAGTATACTTCTATTTTTACGAAAGTATGCATTCTCCGCTATTGGTTATTTTAATAAAACTACAGTGTGAAGAATGTTTAATATTAAGCGGTACGCATTGATACACCAATTGATAATCCAATTTGTGGAAGTTATCCTAAAGTAAGCTTCAGGAGAAAGTTCGCTATTTATTGCTTGACAACTTTTTATTTATTTTTTCCCTCATATCGTGCACTATCGTAATTTAAGTTTTATAAGTAATTACAATAAGTCACTATAAAATTCATAATAGAAAATCATTATTTGCCTGCTGCTGGCAGGAGTTTCCGCTTTCACAGAGAAACTTCCACAAACCATGAATCTGCTCGCTACGTCTGCCACTCGAACGACATGCTTCTAGCAAGCGTTTTCTTGCTTAACGACACTTTGACGAATGTCGACACCTTCTGTCGGATGTATTTCCGCGAAGAATGGGACAAATGGTTTATCGAGAACGTGCATTCACGTTGTACTTATACGTTCCTAATATGTGATATCAAATCTACGTGACCGACATCGGGAATAGAACAGTCGGATTGCAGCTGCTCTTTTCGACAAACTTCTCGATTCGTTCCACCGCGATCCAACTACACGTAAACACTACTAAAATACTATATTTTGCCAAATATGTAGAGTACCAGACAGCTATTAATAATTTTTATCTCTCAAATAACCACATAACCATCGTTAAAACGATATTATCCTCTGATGTTTTCCTAAAAAAGCAAATAGAAATACATTTTCATTTTCATATCTTTTTTTTAACTGAAGTTATAGATCTTCAAGATATTACTTTTTTAATCACAATCGCATTTTCGTGATATTTTTATGATATATTCGGAAATATAAAATAAAATATAATAAATTTCTATTAAATTTGTCTTCAATTCTCAAAATTGAAACACGCAAAGTGTCAAATGATTAAGAAGGGAACGTTACATTAGCGCTTGTACCTGCCTTCTGTATCTTCTAGGTGTGCCTAAGGTATAAGGTGCCTGAGAGTTAGCTATAAGGTATACAGAGGAGGTTCCTGGAACTTGTGCAGGCGCAAAGAGTATATTGAATTTAAACAGACGTAAAACGGCGGCTGTAAATGGTACATCGTAAAGCACTTAGGCCGTAACTTTAGAGGCGGGTTGTAGCGGGCTCCCGTTAAATTTTGTGCGAAATTAATCTCAGGCGTGACTGTGGCTTAGTGCCAAGGCGAACGACAGACGTGATGGAGGACAAGAAACACCGAGTGGCGCCGAGTGCGCGGGAGCCTTTGAGGAATTACTGCACGTATACGTACTTAAACGAAGTGATACCGAAAGTCTAAAGAGGATCTTGATGGACAGTAATTATACACGGGGAACATCGCGGCTCCTCCTACGTCGCGCCGCTCTAAATAAATAAAATAGATTGTACTTCACTTTATGGAGAGACCTGATAACACAGTTAGCCCTTCATTATCAGTTCTGGACTTCAAAGGATATATTGAATTATGGCGTCGATAATGACATTATAACTTTTTTCCTCGCGATATTACTCGTCATTCAATTTATTCCCTTTTTTGGCTTAATACGTTTTGACGCTTTGTCAGGCATATTAAGCCCGCATCAGTATATTAAGCTTGCATTTTCTCTTAAAAACTGTGACATTCACACAGATACGGTTGAAAATATATTATTACTTTATATTCCACTTAATTCACATTAGCCACGTACGAACGAATTAAACGAATACGAATTAAACGGAAAATAAAATTATCACCTTTTGTTATCATATGTTGTTGTGTCCAAAAAAGAGCAGTCCTGCTGTTAAAATCTGCGATTTTGGAATTCATGTATGCAAGGTTAATATTTTAAATTAATTATTATAAAATTCGTTTACCACATAATCATATTGATTACAGCGGCGAGAAATGGAAGTACTTGATTATTCATCATTGCAAAGTCGATATGGTGGCTCGGTGGCTGACATTAATCCGTAATTACCGATGCAGTCGCGTGGAGGAGGAGAAAAAGAAAGAAAGAGCGCGACGTCTCCCTCTCGAACTTCGCTGAAAGTAGCGAGGAAGACTCGCGTAGCGGAAACTTGTTTGCTGAGCGGAAGTCGGCGTCCCTATTGATTTTCCCGGGACAACGTATACGCGGTACCCGGGACAACGACGTTATATCTCTCATCCAAGTTGCATCGCTTATACCGGTATACCGTGCTATACCACGCGAGTTATACTCCCGGCGTGTCTTTTCTATCGCGGCTGTACCCTCCCTTGAACTTACCCCGAGAAAAAGGCCGAAGATTTATGGGCGCCGGTAACCCTTGACAAGATAAGGTCACCCATCGATTAGCGGAAGAAGGTAGGACCGACCGGCGACGACGTCGTCGGAGATAATGGAGACTCGATCGAAGCTCTCTCTTCCGTCGATCATTCGCCATTCGTTCATCCGTCCATCCGTCCGTCCGTCCGTCCGTCCATTCGTTCGTTCGTTCGTTCGTTCGTTCGTTCGTTCGTTCGTTCGTTTCCAGAGAACCACCCGAGTCTCTTCAATCTTAATCCCTGCCGAATGACGAATCTGAAAAATTTGTCGGTCTGTCGACGGGCGCGGTTCGGCGTCGGGATTAAAAAGCTTTTGTTTTCCGTAGCCGTTTCGAACGGCCGCAGCGACGGCATCGATTTTAATCGCTCGTCCTTCGATTCCCCCGATCCCGGTTCCGGCTCGTGCCCCTATTGTGCTCGTATATGATACGCCGGATACCACGATTCTCGAATTACGAATCGTTTTGATTTTATCGATGCGTACTGCCGGCTGTAATCGTATAACCATATATAAATGCGCGGTCCTCAAAGCGGAAAAAATTAACGGATAAAAAAGAGCGAGGAATTCAGTAGTGTCGAACAAAATAATTTATAAAACAAAATAATATTTTGTTTTTTATAATATAATATTTTGTTTTTTATTAATTAAAGTACAATCAAAGTTAAATTTTGGTAGTATATTATGTTCTTTATTTCATCAAAAGTGATTACGAATAACAGAAATTCGGCTTACGTCCGGCAAAATACTCTCATAATATATATTGAAATAAATCCCTCTCGGTAAATTGTTTTAATGGCGACGAGATGTAATACGTTAATACTTTATTCAAAGTCTGCTTTATATTAGTAGTCGCGATTCCAACTTTGCGATAACGAAAAAGTCGTAACTTACTTACACACTAAACTATTACAAAGTTAATACAATCAGTAATACGCTAACCTAAAATGAAATTTTCTCTCGTTTATGAATATAGCGATATCTTAAATAGATAAAAAGATCTTTAAACATATTAAACGCTCTACATACCGCGCATACTAATAAATTTTCTCTTTTCCAATTTAATCTTGTCATTTTCATAATGTCATAATCAAAATTCACTTATTATTGTACATTTACGATATAGGCAATATTAATTATTAATTATGTAATATTTTTAATGGCTTTTAACAGCTAAAAGTTATAGATTAATATATAATCTGCTAAAATCACTTGAATCTTTTCTTTTTATAGAAATGGTATTAAAAAATATATCTAGTTAAATGTTATTATCGATCATGTTAGGCTAATCAATAATATATTTAAATTTCTCTGCTAGGTAGAGTTATTAGCATTTAATTGTTTTCCTCGTTATAAATTTGTGAGCTGCGTGTAAGAAGAGTAGTTTACATATGCACACCGGATTGCTGCACAAGCACTTTTCGTGCCTGACCTATTCGTGTTATCGCGGCTACTGGAAACGCGATAACTGAACTCCGATATCAAGTGTTCAAAGCCATGCACTTTTTAACTTGTTAACCGAACATTTCGTTATCCAAAGCCTTCTCTCATACGTGTGAGTTAATACTAATAAATGCAAATGATATCTGGACCATTTCACGGAAATAAAATATAAAGCTAGATTTCAAGTGAATCATTATTTCTACGTATTTCAAGGGCCACGACAAAAGCAAGCCCGGCGAGTAACCGTAAACAACATTTCAGATTAATCGGCATTACGCTTAATTACGTGCAAAAAAAGATACATGTGTATCAATTTGTTTGCGGTATGATGTTATTTCAATCTCGCTTTGCCGTGTGGGAGCGAAAAGACACATCATTTTGGCGGATTAGAGGAATGCAATTATAACGTGTCCCACATATATCACGCAAATGTTTTACGATGGATTTTGTATGCATAATATTAAGCGTATTTGAGTCACACGAATGAAATCGATGTCGATGACGTTAATAGACTGATTTACCCCGACTTTGATGCGCGAATACCACTGAATGAAACACGACGACAGCTCATTCACGTAACAACGATAATGATAATTTTGTTGATACCGCTAATATGTGGAACACGGTTAAATTCACGATTAAATTCAAAATAAATTGCACGATATGGAGTATAGCTCGAAAATTTTTTTTTTAGTCGCTCGATCATCCTCATAAACGCTAATCACTTCTCATAAAGCAACTTTTTTTTACAAAATATTCTGTACGTACTTATTATATTATATGTTATTTTCCTTTTGCAGAGCGATTCGATTGACTGGTCCGTTTGTCACAATGGTGTACAGCATGATAACGGGAGATATGCTAACCTTCGGTATTATCTACACGGTCATGCTCTTCGGATTCTCGCAATCGTTTTACTTTCTCTATAAGGGATTCCCAGGGGTAAAATCATCTCTCTATCATTCCTATCCTTCGACCTGGATGGCGCTGTTTCAGATAACCCTCGGCGATTATAACGTAAGCTCGCCATAGATTACCGCTTTATTGACACGCGTCGGTGGCACTTCTACTTTAAACCCCTTATCTCGCAAACACGTGCACGCAAGTGTAATATAATTCTATCACGCATCTTTCCTTTTTCTAGTCCTACCCTAAAATTCGCATTCGATTTATTTAGGTTCGCAAAAATAATCTGCCCTTGTCCATCTTTCGTCGAGCTAAATTTATTTGTATTTTAAACGAATCTGAAACGTTTTAAAACGTTTACGAGACGATTACTTGAATTATTATATGTCGAATGGTTAAACGTCGCGCGCGCGTTTATATCATCCCAAACGTTTTTCCACTGCGTCTAGAACGTGCGGGCTATGAATCTTGAATTTCAATCACGAACAATTCCGCGTCGCGCAAAATACACTACAATATTCCTGACGAAATTAAAGATTTAGCGCGCGCGCGCCCGTCTGCCTGAACGCACAGCGGGTGTGTAAAATACCGCCTGTCCAGTAAAAATCATTGCTCGGTTTCGCAGTTCGTATAACGATTAACTCGTTGCACTGAATTAAAAGGGGGGACCGACCGGCGCGTATGGAAAATACGAGTTTCCGTTCGAAAATTCTACGTGCTTCCGCCGTCGCGCAGCGGGCACGCAACATCGGGCATCGGCCGCTTTATTTATTAGCATCCACGTATAATTGTCGCGACATTCGCCCGCGACGATTTATCCGCGGTATTGCATTTGTCCGATTGCGTTTATTCGCAATGTACATTGCAGTACGCCGATTTGAGCAACACAACCTATCCCAACTTGAGCAAGACCGTCTTCGCGATTTTCATGGTGCTCGTGCCTATACTGCTGCTCAACATGTTAATTGCCATGATGGGTAACACCTATGCGCATGTTATCGAGCAAAGCGAAAAGGAATTCGTTAAGCAGGTTGGTATTAAGTAATTCACGGCCTTCCTCGATTTAGCATCCGCTTCGAAAATTCATTGTCCGCAAAATTGACTTTTTATTAGAATACGCTAAAATAAATTTCCAAAACGATACGGAATTATTTGTAAATATTAAATTGAAAATTAATTATTGATACTTAATTCGATAGAAACTGTTGATAGCTTTTAGCAAAAAATGAAATAAAAGTATAAAAATATAATAACTGTTAATTATCTCATACAAAAATGAATAGAATGCTCTAATTACGATAATGTAGATCACGTTTTTAATAAATTAGCTCATTTAAATATTTCCTTATTAATTTTCTATTAAGTGGGCAAAAATCGTCGTGTCTTTGGAACGCGCCGTATCCCAGAAAGACGCCCATAATTACCTACAGGAATACAGCATCAAACTGGGACCCGGCGACGATCCGAACAATCCCGCGTCGGAACAGAGAGGCGTGCTGGTTATTAAAAGCAAATCGAAAACCAGAGCGAAGCAGCGTAAGGGTGCCGTAGCTAATTGGAAGGTGATTTATTTACTTATATTTATTCTTTTTTTCGTGCGTATGCGCGCGCCGACGACGATGTATATCTGCAAAGATTTATTCCACATCAGTACATCAAGCGTCAGAATTTATTTATGGATGTCCCATTCGACTGATACGAGTTCTGGTATCGACTTTTATAAAATGCACGCAGCGAATTTTGCTACGATGTAGTAAATTTCGAAATGGGACGACTATGTAAAATATTTATTTCAAGATGAATTAAAGATTAACAGAATTAATAATTCGTCGAATCGCACAAGCTTTCTTCCGAGTCAAGAAATAAATGGAAAACTTTCGTTTTGAATATCTCGAATACAGCTAATTAAAAGAACTGGATATCATTTATATTTAATGGCTGTTAAAATTGCTTCTCGAGTTTTCAGTTTCATCTATAAAAGTATCGTAACGTGAGAGAGAGAGAGAGAGAGAGAGAGAGAGAGAGAGAGAGAGAGAGAGAGAGAGAGAGAGAG